CGCTTTACAGGTTTTCTTCCGTGGAACACTTCGATACTGTTCAGCAAATACGCACAAACGTCAGGAACAGGTAAAAACATTAGCAAATGTGCTCCGGGTACTTTTGATACTGTTTCACTATCGCATTTCTCGTTGCTAAAATGACTGGCAATTTCTTAGCCCAATATTTTGGGCCTCTTTTATTCATGTAATTCAAAAGCGTCATTCAAGCAAGTTTTTCACGGCGCTGACAGACTTTCCGGTGATGTTTAGTGTTTGTCGAACATCAAAAGATGTTTAGTGTTTGTCGAAATACCAAGAATTGCGAGAATACTAAGACTGCCCGAGTTATCAGTATGAGTATGCCGTGTTAGAGATGCTACTGGGCTGCCCTCTCCCGCCACCCTTCCCCCTGCAATTACCGAGCACAGTTATTCCATGTTCTTCGCTTGGGTGCCATTCTATATTAAATATGAATCAGTTAAAAATTCATCCAAATCACTTTCAGAAGATCTGTTTTGATTTTGAATGAATAATTCGTCAAAATTTCCTTTTTAAGTGAGGCAGGTCTGAGTACCAGCACTATTGTTAGCACAAAGCATTCGAAGATGAAAGCAGTTCTCTTCTTCTCAGCCGGGGAAGGCTTGAGAAATCAGAGTCTAAGCGCGTTAGAATCCTTTACATTCGCAGCTTGCAAATTTCCTTTATCGAAATTCCACAAATTCTTTTTTGACTCATTGTCAGCAAACTTTCTAATTGTAAAAATATAATATCAAATTTAAAATATCGCATACTTTTAAAAGACGTGATTTCAACGCCCACGAAAATTGGTGAGCTGAGCAGAAAAATAGGATTACGTATGGCCCTTTTGGCAAAGTTGGTGAAGACTTGTCGCATAAATACCGTAAATTTGAGGGCCGAGTTGATGACCTCTGGTCACTGATATACATGCTGATCGATTTACGAAGCAACCAGTTGCCATGGGGTAAAGCATTACGTGAAGAACGCATTCTATACTTGAAAGAAACCACTTCGGACAAAGATTTACTGATCGATGGCAAAATGGAATTTTTTGAAAAAATTCTAAAGCATCTCAGGAAATTGCACTATGCAGACAGACCTGATTATCGCGCCATATACAGAACGGTCCGTTTTGTTTTGCAAATTCTCAGTAAACTCTGGCAAAAGCATGCTTTACACTTCCGATGCCTGCAGGGAAGGAGTTTATCAGCACAAATTCCTTTCAAATTGTATCTCAAAGACCACTGCTTTTGAAAAACTAGTAAAAATTTTCACCTTTCCAACCACAATGACGCCAGCTTGACGAGACAACGCACTGTGTGATTTCCGGTCAATTTAGTACCAAAATCTTCATGCAAGGTTTAATGTAGATCGAACGAAATCCGATTAGCATCCAAGCCTCATCCTACACTTCAGCATTTTTCACCTGAATTTCGACCCCTACCACTGGATTAACACAGTTTTATTTAAGTCCAAGTATTTTTCATCCATCTTTTTATGCAGTTTCACCATTTTTATTGTTCACTTGGAAAGCAAATCCGGTCGACCTTTAAACTGTTGGCTTATTATCCCCGGCATTTTCGATTTCTTGGATAAGGGATGCGCGTACCAGCATTTCAAAATATTTGTTTTGCTTTCAGTTTCGCAACTGAAATGCCTAGATTTTGTAAATATTATTCATAGGCTAATTCCGTTTTTTCAACAACAAACCTGTTTTTCAAATTCTCCTTTGTTTTCCCTTTATCGTTTTTCCCATCCACACCATAAACCACCCCCTATGCCCTTCATGGGATTTTGTATAAATACAAAGCCAGAGCTGGCATGCACTTTTGTAAAATGATTAATGTATTGTTGTATCGAGCGACTACGGCTGGATACGAAGGGGGTAAACATACTGGGACATCTTCTTTTAGAGACAGAACCTATCTTCCCTATATAACCGCTGGTTTTCTTCATTATTGGTCTTTTGCGGGGATTCGTTTTATATTCATTTGGGTCTTTGATCTAGGGTTTGGAACTCTCTCCAGCGCATTCGACTTCGACATCCAGAACTTACTACAAAACGTCTGTTTAATGAAAGGCCCCCGTTGTCTAAACGCAGTTCGGTTCCAACCAATTCTACCGGTCCCCAATCAGGTCTTTTTAATTGTATTGTTGTTTAAATTACTTATTTTCCTAGCCAAGTTAAGACAAATTTAATATGATAAAAACCATGTCTCGCGCATCATCTTGCCTAGTCATAACGACCCCGTAATACCTCGCAACTACACTTCAAAAACATTTACTATTTTCATTACCAGATGGTGGTGCAGATAGTGAAGAAGCGGTACCGGTTCCATGAGCCATATGACTGGGAGGACGGTTTGGAGTGTACAACGCAGGAAGAAACATCTGTGAATACGACATCAAACTCATCAAAAACGAGCAGCCGAAGATGTAAGTTCTCTTCCCTTTTTTCTCTTCCTCGCGCACCACAGGAAATATTTGCCCAGCCAGCATAAGGGCGCCCGTCAGTTGTTTTAGAAGATAGTATTATTTTTTAGAATTTATTTAGGTGCAAAAAAGCCCACACAAGACATCATTTGCTTCTCTGTTTCAGTTCCTTAAATCCGAGATCAGACAAGACGGGAATCCGAAATTCTAAAAATTAGTCCTTCTGTGTAATGATATATGAAAGTTGTATTTGTTGTTGCAGTTTGTATTTTTTCCCCGCTCAAGCACATCAAAAATTGCAAGTGTTTTGTGTGATTCATAAAACATAATAAGCCATGTTGCAGATTCTGTGCACAAGTT